ATCCTCAATGTAGGTATAAGCTAATGTCGCCCACTAAGCCTTTATACTCTAATTGTAAATTATGATTTTAAGCAATATTCTTGTTTAGCGCAAGCACAACTCTTTTGGCGATAACGGAAGTCCTCAAAAGACAAAAACAGATAATTCTTTTGTTGATTGTGTACGTATTTTTGTAAATTACTCAACCTCGGCTCAAGAACACTTCATAACAATACTATTTATAGCAGTTTCAGCAATAAATTAGTATTGCACGTTTACTTTGCATTTTAGCTCAACTGGATTTTCTCACATCGAATCAGAATATTGGTCTCCAGCAGCAAAAATTTCTCAACCCTCTCTACACAATGAGATTCTCTGTGATTTTTTCAGACATCTTCCTTTCGCAATCATATCCTTTGGCAATTTAGAAGGCTGCGAAGGCTAATTGATAAGCAAAATGACAACAAAGTTATCAGAGAAGCAATGGAATCCTGCTGTGAGCAGGAAATATCTCAGAGCTTACCCATAAAACAGAGTGAGAATGAGTGAATTTTCTTTGTCATTGCACCTCAACACAAATCATAGAAGAGATTTATACAATTAAGATGTGCAAAACAATAAGCAATATTTGTAGCTATTTATTCCTCTAAAGGCTGAATATGAGATCATCCCTGTTCTCTCTGTACAAAAAAAATTATCTCCTAAAACAAACGAAAATCACTCGAATAAAGGCCCGGCGGAAACAGGACAAGCATAAAATTTAACGAGACCTGCCACTTTCGGAGGCTTTTAGAACAAGCATAAGTGAATGATTCAATGAAAATATATATTTGAGCTGTATAAATACTCCCGCATTCAGCACAAAGACTAGTTGATCGTTATACGTTAAAGAATATAGTCATCCTTAGTAAAGAAGTGTGATCGATCAACTGATCCTTAAAAATGACACAGAGAATCCAGATCACATATAACTGAATTTCAAGAAGAAACAAATCATTCAGGCAATGTTGCGCAAATGTGCAAAAATTACCCTATTTTCCCAATGAGGGCTACGAGGTCGAAATGAAAGCTTGCACTGATTATGAAAAATGTGATGACTAATAAGATAACAATATGCAGTTATTCATCCAAAACTAGAATTGACAATTTAAAGTCGATTTTGGGAAGCATGGAAGACGCACCAGAGGGCAGAAGATCTTGTGAAGGGGGTTTTATACTGGAGAGCAATACCACTATTCAAATCAGTTTGTTGGAAATGTTGGGGGAGAAAAACTGCGATAGTTTTGTTTGAAAGACATCCCAATAACAAGATAGCGTAGATTCTCTGCAGTATAATCATCAATTACAGGCAACATACTGAAGGAATAGTGATCAATGGTCGAGATTTTGTATCTTTTTCCAAATATCCATATAATCCGAAAGCACTTTGTTCAACCAAACGCGACATTTTCGAGCTGCTTCAACGGTTCTTTCAGGTGAATACTCTGGATGTTGTGTGCCAATCACTTCCAACTAAAAGAAAAATGATATTATAATTGCAAAAAATTCGATAATCCTTTAATCTTTACCTTATCTTCGCATTTCTTCAATAAATGATACTTCATATGGTAGCATTTATGGTACAGTTGAGCGGTATTAGCACATGATGGGCATACAAGAAATTCCTGAGATAAA